TATATGATAATATACATGGATATATACATTTATCAATTCATATATATATATATCTGTATGTGTATGTTCCAGCCCATTGCAATTTGTTTGTTTGATGCCTAAATCCTTCCAATTTTGTCAGTGGGAGATCCTTCAAACCAGTTTATGTGACTCTGTGGCATAGTGCCATTAATCTCTGAAAGCTTCCTTGCATTTTGATTCACAAAGGTGTCCCTGTCTCATTTAATATATTCCCTATCCCAGACCGCACAAAAATTTTAAAAGTCAAGGACTTCATGTATCCAGAGTTCTAGACCAGAGGCCAGACTCCAGGGATTCCAACATGGCAGGTCCCTATACACCAATTAAGAGGCAAGAAGTAGTGAAGGGCAGAGTAAGGAGGTTATTATATAGCACAGGCACACTGCAGGAAAAAGCAAAGGAAACACTTCAGCTCATCTTCAGGGTACAGACATGAGTTTCAGGTTTAAGTAGAGGAAGAGCTGGAGCAGAGAGCATGGGTGTGTCTTAAACAGTCCCAGTCACAAGTGTGGTGACACCTGCTCACAATAAAAAAGGTACCAATGTTGGGGGGCGGGGGTCAACTCTTATCACAAGATGTTATCTATCAGTCCTACCCTTTCTGGATTCTCAGGTGGCTGCATGGTGACTTCAGAGAGAATAGCTCAGAGCAAAGACAGATACAAAATGGAGGCAGGAATGCTAAGCTTTCATTTGCTTTTAGTTACCCTTTGGACACCTGCAGAACCAAGGGAGGAGCCAGTGCTTTTTACTAATTCAGTGTCTAAGTTCTTGTTAAGATGTTGCAAGCCAAAACAGTTTCATAGCTTGCTAGCTGAAGATGAGTTTTCATTTTGGGGGAAATATTAAGATATTTACTAATATTTAAAGTATTCACCTGTTGACTCAACAATTCCATTTTTAAGACTCTAACATAATGGAAACAAAAGAAGAAAATGTAGGATATACCCATGAGGTGTTTATTGCAATATTGATTATATTTGCAGAAGAGTGAAAACTGGGTATCCACCAGAAAGAAACGCAGAATTTTGGGTATAAGCAGAGGATAGAATACTGTATAATTCTTGTATAAAAATAAGTTATATTATGACTGGAAAAACAGCTATGAATACTGACAAAAAACATGCTACAGTGTGAGACATATAGCCTGGTCTAATTTGAAGAATAAACTCACCCTATGCTTTTATTTTAATTTGGTGTGAAAAAGAATCTTAACAAACTATTAACTCAGAAGAGGGGGAATGGATTCAAACCCTCTTTGATTTGTTTTTGTGTGTGTGTGCTGGAATTTAATTTAAACAATTGTTTTCTATCTAGGCAATCAATAAAATAGAAGATAAACATTTTAGTGAGTCAACCAGTGTTTCCATGTGATGACTTCCTTTTCTTTTTATTCATTCATTCATTCATATTTTGGAGACAGGATCTCACCATGTAGCCCAGGCTAGCTTAATCCTCCTACCTCTGCCTCCAGAGTGCTAGGATTGTAGGTGTGTGCTACCATGTCTGGTCACGTGACAACTTCTCAACCCTGGCCTGGACTTCTCTGGGGGGGCCTGGCTTCTAAACCTCCAGGGCACAACATATATTGAGCCCTAGGTCTTGTATTAAAAACAGGGCTGATCCTTAATGCAGAGAAACTAAAGCAGATACCTTAAAGCAACTGAGGCCAATAGGAAAAGGGGACCAGGAACTAGAGAAAAGGTTAGATTAAAAAGAATTAACCTAGAAGGTAACACCCATGCACAGGAAATCAATGTGAGTCAATGCCCTGTATAGCTATCCTTATCTCAACCAGCAAAACCCTTTGTTCCTTCCTATTATTGCTTATACTCTCTCTACAACAAAATTAGAGATAAGGGCAAAATAGTTTCTGCTGGGTATTGAGGGGGGGAGTGGGAGGGGGT